CCAACACTCTAATATATATTAGTTTTATTTTATTTTTATGATAAACCCAAGGATTTACCCGCTATACCCATAACCCTATTAGGATAACATACCAAAATCCATTTATTTAAATATCCAACCCAAACCCGTTAAAATTATGGACAGTTTTGGGTAACCCATTGTATTGATCCATTTTGACACCTCTATCAATGGAAATATAAATAGTTGACTATGTTGTATTAAAATGTATAAACAAAATCGAGTAGTTTTAACTAAATTTATTGTTTACCATTTTTCATTGCGATTAGTAAATATTTTCGTTTATATTTTATCTAAATTAGTTGGGTTTATTTTTCTAATTGGATTTATTTGTTTGGTAAAGTGTTTGTTGATATAAATAGTTATAGCATTTATATTACTCATACTTATCAATTTAAATATATATTTTTGATAATTTCGTAAACTTTTGGCTTTTCTATTTGTTGTGTAATAAATATATCATATTTAGAAGCAAAATCTGCATCCTTAAAAAAATCCTTATTAAAAAGGAAATTCTCACAAATACCACTAAATAAATTTTTGTTTCCAAAAATATCACCATTTTTCAAATGTTCTACAAATACCACCAATTTTCAAATATTCCACAAATACCAGAAACATAAAATTGATTTTCAAAACTTTATGATTTAATATTTTGTGTTTCGATTAACGATAGTGAATTAGGGTATATTTTAGGGGTTTCGGTTTAGAGTTTAGTTTTGAATGTTGAATCTTAACTTTAGTTTTGTGGTATTTGTGTGGTATCCTAGGAAATTATTCTTATTAAAAGCAACGAATTTTATGAATTTTCAAATTAACAGTCGTTTATATAATTTGCAAAGAATTATATTATCCTTTCTAATTATTCGTTTCAACAGAATAACCACGTTAAACCAAATAAAATTTTCAAATTAGGACATCTTTTAAATTAGGTTTCATACCTTTTACAGTTTTTCATTATTTTGATTTTTTTATAATATAAATCTGAATCAAAATTAATCTTGATATTCGATATTGGATTTTTAGTTACAATCTTTTTCCATTTTAATTACTAATATCATTTAAAATCGGCTTTGCGTCAATATTAAAAAAATTGTCAAATAGATTTAGGTAAATGAGTATTCCTATTATCATCTCTCCACACTAAAATTTACACTTTTGGCATTAAAATTTATTACTAATATTTATCGCTATAAATATATTATTTTGATAATTTTATTCTTTTCTTTTTACTATGTAATAAATATACTACATTTCCAACCAAAATCAGCATCTTTATTATAAAAAAATCGACAGTATCTACAATGGCAATTTATACTGATCTTATTTTAAATGTATTGTTAAGATATTTACATATCTTGGTAATTAATGTTAAACCAAAATATAAAAATAGTATATTTTGTTTAAGGGAATGTTTTTTGAATGTGTTGACGTTTTCTAGAATCGAATTAAGAAGATTCATATGTTTTTTTATATGAATTGGGTTTAAGGAAAACTACGCTAATTTTGTAATAGTTAGTTTTTTTTTATCAAGAAAAAATATTATAAACAGCTATATATTAATCAAATTAAAAGATCAAAATTTTTATAAATCGAAATTTAATAATATTTTAACTTGTTGATCAATTTACAATATTTGTAATATTTCAGTTTTTAATCAAAGCAAAATTTTACAAATATTTAAATTTATAATATTCTAACTTTTGACCAAATTAAAATATTTTTAATATCAGATGAAGTTTATATCATGTGGTATAAGTATTTGGTTTAATAGGATAATTGAATTACAC